GGGGCCATGTCACATATAGAAATTTTTTGATATTTGCAACCATAGTAAAACAAAGACTTATATTTTTGATATTTATTTTATATATTTAAATGCCATTTAACAAAGAAAAATCAACCAAAAAAATGAGTTCGCGTGTCACCTCTGACACGCATGTCACAGGTTCACCATCACTGCTCTAGTGTAAACAATAAAGAATTAAAAGATTATATCATTAAAGTTACAAGATAATAGCATCATTCTAAAAATAATACACTTAAGTATATTATCAATCTTGTTAATCAAAATTTATTATAAATCAATATACATTTCTTATTATTGATTATACTATATAAACTCAGTTAAAGAGATATATTTTTAAAAACCTTTATATTAATATGTCTACCTTACTTGCTGTTTAGATCAATATTTTTCAGACTTCCATCTGGCTCACTGACTGCCAAGCTTAGAACATTTTAAGAACCAGAAGAGTAGGACACAGTACTGCCCCAGTGATAGATATATGTGAATTAATCTGGTATTTGTTCCTCCTCAAACTTCTTGTTCTGGCTATGGCTTTTTGGTTTTCCCCCTTGACCTTTCAGTCCTTGTCTTAAATATAAAGCCCCACCCAAATCCCACACTCCTAAGTGACAATTGCTTTTGCCTCATTCTCAATATATTTCTTTGGTATTTTTGGTTTCCATACTTCCATGGATGCAATTTTATAATTTAACTTGAATACAAAAAACTCAAAGAATTCTTAATAGGTATAAACAATTTCCTGGAAACTTAATTTTTAGTAAAACTCTAGTTTATTAGATCTCTGCTGCCCTCTCCTGGGCACAGTTTGGGGCTCTTGACCACTGCAGTCCCATTGATACCAAGAGCTAGGGCAAAGTGTTTTTTGTTTGTTTGTTTGTTTAAAAATTTTTAATGTATTTTTATTGATTTCAGAGAGGAAGGGAGAAGGAGAAAGAGATGGAAACATCAATGATGAGAGAATAATTGATTGGCTGCCTCCTGCACACGTCCTACTAGGAATGGAGCCGAACCCAGGACCCTTCAGTCCTCAGGCCCACACTCCACTCACTGAGCCAAACCGGCTAGGGCTAAGGCAAAGTTTTTTACATTCTAAGTGCCAAAGAGCACAGGTTGAAAACAAATTACAATTAAGTATTATCATTCATATTTTCTTTGAGTAGTATATCAACTATCAGTTTAAGTAAAATAAATGTTTACGTTTTTATGATCTACAAACAATTGCTATAATTATATTCCATGGAGAAGCCTGACATTTTACTTCTTAAGAATAAGAGGGGACCTATATATTTCTTTACATAATCAATTAAGAAAAAGAAAAGTGCTGCTCAGCCGGTGTGGCTCCGTGGTTGAACATCAACCCATGAACTAAGAGATCACCGATTCGATTCCGGTCAGGGCACCTGCCCAGTTTGCAGGAGGCAGCTGATTGATGTCTTTCTCTCATCGATGTTTCTATCTGTCCCTCTCCCTTCTTCTCTCTCTAAAAATAATCAATAAAAACATATTGTTTTTTTAAAAAAAGAAAAGTGCTTACCTCTGCAGACAGCCCAAGCATCTTCATCACATTTCTCACCACTTGTTCTCAATTCAAAAAAATTATATTCTTCAAGACTAAGAAGACCATTTCCATCTAAGTCAATTATTTCAAATATATCTGATAAAGTTGACCTAAAATTATAAAAATAGCAAATTATTTGTCTCCAAGGCAACTCGACTGAAGCTTTCTATAAAGATAACTTTCAAAAGGAAGTAATATCAAGTTATTGAACAGTTTTTGTGAACTATAAAGCTAATGTATCCAAATGTATATTTTTACTTAGTCTAGTATTGTATGAGATAAAGAAGCTTCTAAAGCAATCATTGTATCTTAACACATAGTAGGATCTCAATTAATAGTAGTTCCCTTCTTTTCTCCTTTCTCCAATCTTTCTTCTTCCTTTCTACCAGATGATGCTGTGTGTATCTAGGGCATGGGAAAACCACCTAAGTGCTTGGATTTCATGTTTGACAGTTATCTAAGTCAACAGTGCAACTAGCAGGATCTAGTTTTAAGGCAGTGCCTACTGGAGGAGAAACTGAGATGTATGACTAAAGCTGATTTGCTAAATGTATGGAACCCAGAAATGAATGGCAATCCCAGACCTGTGAATGCAAGGTCACTTCCAGAAGCCTAGAGAAAGAGTTGAATTATTAAATTAGAATCATGGGGTAGGAGTGGCAGCTGCCCAAAGGAAAGGGTGGAAGACAGGCTATTAATATATATGTGTCCAGTCTAAATGTTAAGTTCTAACCTTTAGAAACAAGACTTACCTAAATTCATTTGTAAGAAACAATTCCCCTGTTTCATCCCTACACACCAGCTGGGCTTCTTCTGTTATTGGTTTTATTTCTTTCTTCAGTCTACAGCCAGTTGTGGAAGGAATTAACCAGTAAATTCCAGGTCCTAGTTCACCAGTCCATCCAAAAACCTGTTTTGAAAAGAATAATAATTAAATTTTAAAATCAATATTCACCAATTCTATTTTAGTTTTATCAATTTTTTACAGGCTTCAAAATCTGTTTTCAATGGTAACTCTAGTATAAGACTATTAGATATAATTCTATGTAGTTCTATCTTTTTTAATGCTTATAACTATAATATGTAAAAAATTATATAATTTCTAAATCTTTTCCAATCATATTAAGAAATGATTGTGAAGCAAATATCTTCAATAGAAAGCAAAGACAGAGATCTTAGAATAATTTTTCCAGGGTACAGTTCCCTAATATGATTCAAATATAAATATATAATTTGTAATTCATATTTCAATAACACAAAACAAAAATTAAATATATTTAAAAGAGTTAACTATTTATATACATTAGCCATATTCATAAGAATCCAATTCTATAGACAAACACACTGGAATTTTTCTATTATGTAATATGGACTATAAAACAAGATGGCAGAATCCCATGTAAATCTACCTTATATAAAATTATTTTCCATCACAGGATATTTATAATGAGTGCCAGGATATTTGTATAGGGAAATATTTTATTCTCTTGTTCTATAAAATAAAGCAAAATGGTATCTCTCTATGGACCTTCTAGGTACTTTCTGAAGCCCAATGGCTTCCTATAAAACCTAGGGGTTGCCTCTGTCAAACATATTAATTCTAAGACTGTTCTGTCAGCTATTTGCCCTTCAGTACAGAATAGCTCTAGGGATTTCTGTCTGGTATTATGTTCAAAACCTTTCAAAACCCAGGTATATTATAGGTCATCCTGTGTACGTATATCCCAAATAAAATTGCTCATCTGTATTCAAGGATCAGCCCTATTTCTGCCCTCACATATCAGGGGAACCATAATCATCTTAAAGTGACCATGACCGCCCTAACCGGTTTGGCTCAGTGGATAGAGCGTCAGTCAGCCTGCAGACTGAAAGGTCCCAGGTTCAATTCCGGTCAAGGGCATGTACCTTGGTTGCGGGCACATCCCCAGTAGGAGGTGTGCAGGAGGCAGCTGGTGGATGTTTCTCTCTCATTGATGTTTCTGACTCTCTATCCCTCTCCCTTCCTCTCTAAAAAATCAATAAAACATATTTTTTTAAAAAGTGACCATGTCCTATTTTAATGCAAGAAGCAACCTAATAAAACTAAGAGTCATTTTGAAGACTAAAGATTGACCAAAGCCATCCTTTGGAAGCCATAATCTTTTAGACTGGCCAGATGTAGACTGATACCCAGGAGTGAAAAACATTTCTTGCCACTTCCTAATATATGTTATCCCATGAAACTCCACATATAACCCTGAATTGCCACTGTGGATGGCAAATTGAAAGTCTTTCATGGGCACAAAATTCTTTTTAAAGAAAATTTGTGAAACTAAAACTAAAAATGAAAAGTCCTTTGTAAATATGACATATTACAGATAACCAGAAGCCCATATAGTAAAGGGGTAAATAGAAACTCATTCAAACTTTATTACAGGCTTGCTCTGTACTAACATTTTTACACATGCAATCTCATAAGAAAGTAATTTTATCCAAAGCAAAAATGGGGAAAGCTATTGTTTTAGACAATGCTTTATCCTGAACTTAACTTTGTAGTCAGTTCTGAAGAGGAGTTTAGTCAAACATTAACTTCTGTCATTTTATTTGTTTCTTGCCTATAACTATTCTTGTCTGTAAGGAAGCCTACAATAAAGACTTTTATATAACATTCCATCAGGGAAATGTTTGTCTGTCGTTGGACCTATATAAAGATTAAATATGATATTGCAGTAAGCCCTTGAATAGTATTATTCGTGCTGTTGAGTAGCAGATGTATTTTGTAGTCCTCATAAAATAAATAGCCACATTTATGTATCTGCCTCACATTTTTGGCTTCTGAGTAAATATATAATTAGAAAAGATCAGAGCAACCCTATGAGCAACATATAGAATCATTTAAAAGCATTTCTTCAGATCAATCTATTTTTGAACCCTATAATATGAGTCAAGCCTGAGGATAGTAATCTTGACATTTTTCTTTTTTGCAGTAGCATGTAAGTAAAATAAACATCTAAAGCAAGTCTTTCCCAAGTCTTGAATTACTTGCATTTAGGGGGAAACTGTCCACTGGTATCAACCCTTTTTTTGAGTCTAACAAAAAATGTTCTCATGTGTGGAATTGGGTATTTAGAGAAGAGGAAGTAAAGTACAATGTCATACAACTGTTAAGTTATGAAGCTAAGACTACCAATCAAGCCTCAATTCTTAAATCTCAGCAAACAAGAAATAGTCCTTCACAATAAAACATATGTAATATTCATAGTGTTTAAGTACTGTACATGCCTTAATTGGAAGAAAATATACAAAAGTTAAAAAAAAAATATATAGAAAAACTACTATTGTCCCCAAACTTGAATTCATACTATATTTTTAAATTAAATATTAGAAAATAAATATGTATACTTCTCTATTTCGTAGTTCAGTAAAACACATGAGCTGTAGGTTTGCTTGGTTCTCACTTTCCTTAAGAATATACAAGGCAGTATCAACTGATAACCACGGTGATGGTTTTCCTACAAATAAAAAACCCAAAATTTTAAAATAAGCAATCCCTACTTACTCTTCCCATTTAAAGAAGTTAGTGGTTTCTTTTCCCACTGGATTCTTTTTTAGAAATACACATTCTACTTTTATATGAAAACATAATTGCATTTGCAATAAGGCACATACTTATATACAGTGAGATTGTTACAAACATTCTCCACATACACAATTTCTAAAAATCATAATTTTTCTTGAATTTATCAAAGAGCTGAGGTTGCAAGGCAACCAAGAAGCCTGAAATCCAAAGAAAAACAAAACCCTTTAGGGAGAGAAGGGATGCAAGTACTGGTTTCCTGCGGGAAAACATAGCTGGAGGAAGAGATGTCAGACACCATCTATGTGTTAACAACTCCAAAATTTATATTTCCAGCTAGAACCTTACCTCTCAACATTAGACCCATATAAACAACTGCTATTTAACATTTCCACTTGGATTTCTATATCTAAAACTGACCTTCCTCAACCCCTTTTAAAAAACTGTCCATCTATACTCTTCTCAATCTCCGTTAATAGTAATTCATTCCTTTCAGTTGCTCAAGCCAGAAATCTTGGAGTCATCTTTAACTTTTTTCTTTTCTCATATATCACAACCAATACCCAGGAAACCCTATGGTTCAACCTTCAAAATATCTTCAGAATTTTTACTTCTGATCCTTTGTACATTCCAGTTCAAAGCATAATCACTTACATCCTAGAATTCTGCAATAGCACCCTCGCTGGTCTCCTTGCTTTCTCCTGGGCACCCTTCAATCTCTTTTCAATATGACAATATGACTGATCTTGATAAAATACAAGTCATATTATGTCCTGCCTCTACTCATAATCTTCTCATGGAGTTGGGAGTTGGAAAAATGTTGCTCCCATCCAAACAATAAGGAAAAGTGAATGAACTAAAAAAATCATAAATTTTCTTGAGCCCATTCAGAGCTGAGGTCACAGGGCCACCAAATAGCCTCAAATCCAAGGAAAGACAGACCTTTCAAAGGAGAGGGGACATGCAAGCACTGGCTTATTTGTGATAAAAAACAAAACAAAACAGGAGGATGAAATGTCAGGTACCATACAAGTGGATAAAGACAGAGGACAGAGCAATATTCTATATAATAAAGAGGTAATATGCAAATTGACCATCACTCCAACACATGAGATGGCCGCCCCCATATGGACACAGGATGGCTAGCAGGGGGGGGCAGTTGGGGGCAATTGGGCCGGCAGGGGAGGGCATTTGGGGGTGACCATGCCTGCAGGGGAGGGCAGTTGGGGGCGACCAGGCCTGCAGGGGAGGGAAGTTGGGGGCAATCGGGCTGGCAGGGGAGTGGGTAGGGGTGATCAG